GGCATCCACGTAGCATCCCACTGATGCCGATAAGAGCCACTACTAGACGCGCGTGAGATTTTCGTGCAAACTGCATGAAATCAGTGACGATGCGCCAGTGTGTTGCAAAATAGTTGACTCATCAGGCCTTATCCACCCCCTCTCCCCCCATACAATGTTGTGTGTGTCCTAACGAATCTTTTTCGGGCTTTACTTGTATCAACATTGTATGGGGGGAGAGGGGGTTCTAGATATCACACGCGCAAGTATCCGCACGAAGTTTTCCCTACGATGTTTTCCACTTTTGCAACTGACTGTAGTACCACTCGAGCGCGCATTGTAGGAGACGGCTGTTGAACTTCGCGTGCGCAGAAGAAATAAACTGCTGAGGACGACCCCAATGTAGTGCCCTTCAACTCAACAATTCGGAAACTCACACAAAGAGCATACAAACCTATCAGTAAACTACAGGTAGCTAATGCGACGAAATACAGTCTATCATTCTACAAGGCAGAAAAAGTTGCAGAGCAACAGTTATCAGGACTGATATGCGAGCACAAACGTAGCGAAGCACCGTCCGCACGCAGGCAGGTCTCGCCTTCTCTCTTGGCTGATGGGGGTACTCAAGTTGAGCCACACAAAGCGCTGGTTCAACATATTATTCTCTTCATGAGAGAGATCGCGACAGTCGAACTGACTGGGGACTGTGATGCACACTGGAGCGTCCTCGTTGTAGATTGAGTCGCAACGACAAGATGATTTCGGCAAGGGAATGGTGAAGGGCTGCTTACCCTCGAAAAAGCACAAACAGTCGGTAATAGAGAACCCTACCTGTCGGTTATTGAATCTGAAGTAGTCAAGAAGAAAGATTTCTATGCGTTCCTCTAACAGAATTGAGAGTGGGTAGCTCCCAGACGCGAGGCCCCCTAGGGACCTAAACACGGCCCCCCAATGTTTAATTAAGAAGGATTTCCCAGACCCAGAAGGGCCGTAAATGGCCAAGTTTGCATTGCGAGACCCCCCACACTCCAGCATCCGCAAGATACAGCTCGAAAACTTTCTTTCACTTAACCCATTCTTCTGAAGTATCCCTGCGATCGCAGCAGCGGTCTGTCCTCCACACAAACATGGGCCTTCCTGAGCTGCATCACGGAGTATGTCGACCCGAGATACATTAGACCTATCCAACTCGTGAGAGGCGTCATGTAGGGTCCATACCCGTGATAATAATGATGCAGGGGATTCCTTCTGGTTAAGTAAGTAGTCTCTCACATTGCGCCCTTTATTCGCGGCGGACAGGAATGCTCTTTCAGTCCGAATCCTTTTGCTGACGATCCACGGCGCTAAATCACTCAGTCGGCGAATTCTAGACGTTTCGCCGGTAGTGCCCTTCTCTTCTGCTGTAGAGTACTCGTGTTTCGTGGGCTCACAAGGAAAAGCTGGGTGGCCTTGAGTAAGGTAAGGATAAGTGTCGGATCTGGTACAGTATGTATATCCCCCGAGGTAACTTCGAGTTGAGCGGAAGTTAACCGCAATCCCGCGATCGCGCAGGAACCGGCCAATCCTACGCCAACGATGTCTCCTCGAAGCCGCCGTGCAAGCGTGGAAGTGAATGGATGTTCGGTCGCTATGATATTCAGCCCCCACACATATATTAATTTAGTTTAGTTCATAATTTAGTGGAATATCGAAATGCTTGTAGGCTCTTTCCAACTCTTGCGCAAACTCCTCCTTCGAGACCTGTCGCCTGGAACACGGAGATCGTCATTCCCAGCTGCCGGCCTTGGCCATGTGATCAAGTAGAACTTGGAATAATCGGGAGACCTCTGCTGAGTGCCCTTAGGCTCCTGGGTTCCGTCTCCCGTTGGTGAAAGGAACCTGCGGAAGACAAATAATCCCTCGTGAAGGACAATGCGCTGCATGGTCACGAAGGTTGCGTCAACCTACTGCTTGTGATAGTTGGGTTTCTTCGAGTGGGGAATCATAGATAGTTAGTTGGGTGTCGTCTCCCACTATGAAGTTAACGAGCGACCCAAGTTGAACATCAGTGGAGGGATTGCTGACAACATCAGTTGACTCAGCTGAGAGTCAGGCGAAACTGCCGCCTGCAGGTCGAGGAATTCCATAAAGAGTTCGGATATTGATCAACTGATCAACTGATCATCAAAAATCAAGGAGAGTGCAAGATCAATCTTCTTACTATTTTCAGCTGATCAGTTGATCAATTGATCAGTTTCGAAGACGTGTTGAAGGAACGAAACGTGCTAACGGGCGCGAGGGATGACTAAGCTCACTTGATCCAGTCAAAGTTTGTTGACCTACTCCACAAATGCATGTCATTGATCTGTGATTTGTGGCTGTAAGACAAGTCGAGGATGCCGAGGAGTAATTGACATCAATATAAACATGCAGCAAACAGTGGTACTATCACATAGCTAAAGCTCAAAGTAGCAAACTAACGCGCAAGCAAGGCTCCGCGGCGTTTCAAAACCTCAACGATACGACTGCTCATGCTGTCAATTAAGATATTCGTGTCGATAGTGGCATAAATACGTTTCACACGGTCGATGAACTCGTCTTGAGTTGAGCAGGCACCCTTAGTAGCAGCTTCAGGGTGTAAGCGGAATTTGAGGATTGAAAACGAATTTTCGATAACTTCTAGGTCGGGAGAGCGAGGGGGGAAGCTCAGGTACCGACACTCATGTTGCAATAATAGATCCAAACACGGAGGAGTTCGAGGGCTTCTAAAATTATCAGCGCAGATCGCCAGCTGGTTCAATGAGCTCCTCTGAGCTCTCCTCTGGAGCCACGGAATTCCGTTCTGCTCGAGGAATGAATAGTAGGCGGCACTCGAATTATTCGGTATGGGAATGATCTCGGCTTCTTCTCCCCACCCTGTAATCCCCACGAATTTCAATTTGAGTGTATTCCCGAACCCACTACGTGTAGCTTGTTGACGATCAGAATGCTGCCAAGCTCTACTCATAGTAGCAGCTCTCCCCCCAGTGGGATCGAAGCCGATAGCCACCCCGTCCATATACATACCAACTCCATGGCGGAAGAATTCTACAATTCGCTGTGAATTGTACTCACAACTGTGTAGGACTTCTCTGGCCCATTGCACACGTGTTCTACGGTCTCCCGGTTGTTGCAACACTCGCCGAGGTGTCTAACGACACTTCCATCCGCCGCGACGTAGGATGCGGGTGAATGTCGTGTACGAGAATCCATAGTCGAGCTTCAAATAGTGCGCTTTGGCCGTCAAGAATGGCTGGCGACTTCTCGCTGAGATAAAGGATCGGAGAACTCTGCGTGTACCTCGGTTGCTGAGTATCCTAGGGCGCCCAAGTCCATGCAAATCATTTGTCTTCCGCGTGCCACCCTTCCGAACGCTGCTTTTCGCCTCCCGCACTCGGGACACCGACGACTGGCTCCGCCCAGTGTATCGAGCAATTTCCCTGGTTGACCATCCCTTTTTCTTTAACCGGAGTATAGGAGTATCCGGAGTATTCAATATTTGATTCCCAACCTCCATATACCTGCATTCAATGGTGCATTTAGCTAGCACTAGACCGCAAGGGAACACCGACGGCAGGAGCCTTGACGTGATCAGAACCTGAGATACATGGCAATAATCTCCTTAGAAGGCGGAACCATCACCCGTTTACTTATCGAGCCGGCACTGCCGGTGAGCCCTCTCATTCGTGTGGGTGAGTCCTCCACGCATAGCCAGAACGTCTCCATGGTCGAGGCTGAGAACGGGTTGTACGTTACAACTTGTAACCGCAAGGCACAGATTTTGTGGTTACCATCCATCCTCTCTCCCTCAAGGACCTCAGTGGATGAGGTCTCTGGTTCGAACCCGGCACCGGTCATTTTTCAATAATAAATGATGCGCAAAGTGGTTCAAGTGCTGACTTGCACGAGTCTATTTGAACTGCGGGAGGGGCCATAAGACGTTATTGGGACTATGCGGGCCGTAGGCCCGCGTTCCCCTTTAAAACAATCTTTTTCATCGAGTGCCTCCACCGGGACCAGTGAGTGCCTCCACTGGGACCCTTTTGCCAACGGCACGCATGTACACGTGCGAGCATTTGCAGAGTGCACAGATTCTAGGATTCTTGACATGCTATCGTATCGATTGCTCTCCGCAAATTGGGAGTTGTAGTATACGGGGAATCCCCGCTAGCGCAATGTGGACGAGCAGGGAAGTTCGAACTCGTGTCCCGACAATCTTTTCGATGTGCTCTCTCCACAGCTGCGCTAGACTAAGAAAAATCGTTCGAGGGCGAACACAAAGCATGATTGCCGGTCTTGTCTTCTGGAACTGTGCTGGGAGATCTCACGGGCCAAGAGCGGGCCGAAGGCCCGCGTTACCATCGCCATACCTCCCCCCAGGTCCAGCGCATACAGTACATTTGGACCCTATCACGCATACTTTTGGACCACTGGCCCAGTTCTTAGCATTAGCTATAGCACGCATGCTCTAGATGCAGTCGAACAAAGTTTTTTACGTTCTTTTTTCCATTGCCATCGTCAATACCATCACTCAAAAGACGTTGTTGGGCTAATTATGAGATCGACCAGGAGCAACGTCCCATCTTCAGTTGTAATAGAGTTACCAGAGATCGAGGCAACAATCTTGGGTTTACTGAAGAATTGATGTTTAATGGCCTTAGATCAAAGATATAGATAAAATCTC